AACCTGAATACACACAGACTCATGGGGACTCGTGTCACGGTGGGGAAGGGCGCTGGAAATGGTTGGTAAGAAGGGTGTGATCAAACTTACACACATGATGTAGGCACAGTAAATGTCTGGCCAGTCACACTGGTGCAGATTCTCAAGGGCATAAGTGAAAAATATTCAATCTATATCTGGCATATCTGCTGTCCAAAAGATTGGAATAATTTAGAAAAACTTTTTATATATTATTATTATTATTATATAAAAGATTCTCAAAGGCTGCATTTATTTTATACAGTAAAAATACAGTAAAAGCAGTAATATTAAAATATATTTTTTTATACTTTTCATCAAAAGCTACAGTAAAGACATTTATAATCTTACAAATAAATGCTGATTAATAAACTTTTGCGCGTGTGTGTACAGCTGCAATCAAAATTATTCAACTCCCTTGACCTGCAAAACATTGTGCCGCCATGAAATTTTTTTTATTAAAAACAATTAAACCAAGGCAGTTAACTATTATAGACATTTATAAATGTATTAAATTTCACACTTTTGTAATATTTACCTTTTATTTTATTTACTTTTTAATTTTAATTAATGAATTTAAGTATTTTTACATTTTGGAAACTTATTTAGTGTTTTATGACCTTGATAAAAAAACTTAACGTAAAAATTGCCCCCAGTCTTTTATCCTTTTTGTCTTATTGAAATGTACTACTTCATATTTATGAAACATTATTCATACCACCAGTGCTAGACTGCGATTACAGTAACGACATTGATAAAAATATACTCCCAGACATATGGACACTAACATCATCCTCAACACACACACACATTTTGATGTGATGGATGTGTTTTTCATGGGTGGTCTGTCATACAACCCGCCTCGACCCCACACACACACACACACACACACACACACACACACACTGACACACATGCTGTCTGCCAAGAACATGATTGGCACATATGGCACAGTCTTTTTCCCTTACATGCACATGAACAATGCAGGGTCTCATCATCAAATGCAAACAGTGTGACAACTCATGCTGTTGCACTCATTAGCTGCACATATGAAGCATTTTGCACTCAGCCAGACCTGTAAGGTCTGCATCTTTAGAAATGCAGTAAAAACATGCTTATATCAGCAGTAAAATTGTCTGCGTAAGAGATGTGTCTCTCCAGAGCAGGTGAAAGAAACGAAGTGTTTTTGCCTGAAGGTGGTTCCAGAGGAGTTTGACTTCTCGGCCAAACCGCAAAGATGAACTGTAAGATTTCCTGCAAGATGAACATCTCTCCACCTGTCACAAGCAAGCTGTCAATCACACACACACACACACTCATTTTTTGAAACGTGTGGTTGAAAATGAAGTCAATTTGCTGTGGTTTTGTATTTGGCTTCACAGCTAACTAAAAAAAAATGGTGGGAAATATTTTGAGATGTTTATATTAATGTCATTTACTATGCAAGCTACTTTATCAGAAATACTGTTTTGAATTAGACTGTAAAATCATTACTTTAAGAAGTTCACTTTTACCTGATCAAATTATTTTACCATTGTAACATACTGTAGCCAGATTGATTAAAATCAATAAAACTGTAGATGTTACCATATGAAGTACACTTTTAAGGTTGCCTGACAAAACTTTTACCCCCAGTTTCACAGACAAGGCTTAAGTCTAGGCCCAGACTAAAAACCATGTCAGCTGTTTTAACAAAGAAACTTGCACTGACATATCTTAAAATATACATCAGTGCCACTGTTTTTTTTCTAAGGAACGTTTATCAAAGATACTAATTGAACTATGGCCTAAACCTTAGTCTAAGCCCTGACTGTGAAACTAGGCCTTAGAGTGTAGAATCAAAATGTTCCATTAATAACTAATAATTCTGGTTCTTCAGCGGTTCTTTAGGGTGGTTGAGGAGCCATATAGCACCGCTACCATACAAAGAACCTGTTAAACCCCCTGTAGAGTTCTTTAAAGGTTCTCGAAGCATAAAAGTGATTCAAAACAGCTTTTGCAATTGTAGTAAATTCCTATTCATAGCATTCATATGAGAGTGGAGTAACATATCTAAAAAAAAAAGGAGAAAGGGGTTCCTCTTATGGCACCATTTGACAAAGGCGCTGTATAGCACCTTTAAAGATAGATGCTATATAGCACTTAAAGTGGTTCCCCTATGATTGCAAGCCAATGAATCACTTTTAGTGCTATTTAACACCATTTTTTTGTTTAGAGTATAGTTCTTTAGAAAACCTTTACTTTTAAGAGTGTAAAGTTGTTTTGCATGGCTTCAAAACTTGCCACCATTATGCTAGGGTGTTTGTGGGTGATTGCCAGGGCATAATGACAATAAGCTGCATGATATTATTAATGTCCACAGCAAGAACAATGTGGGTTGAGCTACATGCCTGAGTTTATTGCTTTGTGTTTATATTCACCTTAGCTATGATTAAATTGTGATCCTGACTGTTATATAATTGGAAATATGATCATAATAATGAGGCTTATTTAAAGTATACACGTCTGCAAAAGGTCATGACCCCAGGATTTGTTGAGCTGGGATGAAAGAGACAGTTATCACACCCACACCATTCCTCTCCCACACTCATTCATCTTTCCTCTTGTCTCATTCGCTCTTTCTTTATTCCTCCCCTTAGGTCTTTTTCCTCCCCTCTTACAATTTATTCATTCAATCTCTGTCTCATTTTCCTTCTATTTTTCTCTGCCAGGTTCTCTCACCTGGGTTTCTTGATTCCTGAAATCTCATTTTCCTTCCTGTGGAAAGTAGTTCTCAAACTTTTTCAGGTGGTGGACTCCAACAAAGATTGCAGACCACTTTACACTTCTAAAAACAGGGGAAACCACCAACTACATCAAGAATTACCTACAGTTTGATGTAAAAATTGCCCTGTAAATTACTTTAATCTGAAAACAGCACAACATTAATACATTTTATATTTTGTTATTATTTATTTTATATTGCCATTTTATATCCTTTTATATATTTTATTAATACATAATTTTATATATAATTTTTTTCTGCTGTTTTGTTTATTTCACTGAAACCGCTATGTTAAGCTAATGAACCGAAATAAGACTTTATCACACATTTGTCAACAAAATTGTTTCATGCATTAATGTTAATCAATTAATCAATGAATTAAATAAATGTTTGTGCTTTTTGTAAATTATAATTCTATTTATTTAGGTCTATTTTTTAGCAGGTCTACAGACCCCTATTTGAAAAGCACTCTTCTCATCAAGTTCATAATCACACTCCACCTTCATCACTTCATTTCTGTCTTCCTCCTCCTCTCAAATCCATTCATCCTTCCTGACCACCTATGTCGACGTGGGTCTACCGGTCACGACTCTTCAGCTGTATGTGTGTGTGTGTGTGTGTGTGTGTGTGTGTGTGTATATGCATATCATAAATATATTGCGTTATATTTCAAATTATAAAATATAAGAGAGCAGATATTACCCGGGCAAACGATACAAAAGGGAAAAGAATCTAAATAAAATAAAAATAAATATATAAATGTATATAATTACATTTATATTTATAATTATATAATTAATTCAAGTTTACACAAAAACAATTTTTTCTCTTTTTTTATTATATATATTTTTATCATTATATATAAAAGGTAGAAAAGGAACAAATGTGTCAGTTTTGTGTATATGCAGATGGATTGTTCTTAGACCCTTGTGTCCCTTAGTGTGATCAAGCTGGCTTGATGAGCACTTAATTAAATTCTTATTGAGGAGGTGGATTTAGAAAAGGAAGAAGATAAAAGTAGTACGAGCAGAAACACTGGCACAGTGGAAATTCTCACACTCCTAAGGAAAACTCACACCTGTGATGAAGTGCGTGTGTGAGATGGAGAGATAAATGGGTCCCTAATTCTCAGACAGAAGGACAGTGTGTTCTTGATCAGCAGGTCTTGGCTGAAGTTTCTTAATTATGCCTTAATTAGCACAGTTGCTTCGTTAAACCACTTCCTCTTCCAAGGCTGAGAGGGAGCAGCAGTAGGACCTCTCATATCCGCAAATTTAATTACTCCCTCATTCCAGTTCATTACTATCACAGGGTCAAAAGGGGATGGCCTTTAAACCTCAGTGTGTTTGCTGAGATTTTGTAAATAACATTTGTCAGATGGTGTGTATCTGCGGAATATTTAATGGGTCATGATCGCGCAAGAACTTTAGTTTTGACTGCAAAGAGAATGTGAAAGTACTGAATGATGACATAGCTAATAAATAAAAAAAAACATAAATTTTGCAATTTATTCAAGTAAACCAAAGTCATCTTAAAGCTTTCAAGTGTAATGGCTGCACCTCTAGTGGCATTAAATAGAATTACAAAAATAAAAGTCATTGCCATGATTAAAAGGTGTTGATATGTGATTGCCATGGAGTTCTGGGGGAGAAAAGCACTCACACTTGCAGGCAAAAGTCTGATTGCATAAAAGTAAAAGTACACCTCTCCTCATCAAGACTAAATTCGAGGTACAATTCGTGCCCCGTAGCACATTTCAGAATGAGTTGCATGGCACAGTTTATATTTAGAGTTAAGGGTAGTGGTATTTTATACTGCAAAAATGTTGTTTTTTTCCTTAGGATAAAATCATTAATAGAACATTTAAAATAGAAAAAAAAAGATAGAAAAATTAAGAGAAAAGTGTTTTTAAAAACTAATAAAAATGACAAAAACACATAACCAAATGTCTAAAACTTAAGCTTAAATGTAAAAGTCTTGTTTTCTGCAAAATTGATCAAAATTAAATGACTTTATACTTAAAACAGGGGGGGGGGGGATTCCAATGGGGGGTTAAAAAAAAAAAAAAAGGTGGGCAGACATTTTTTCCTGGTTAAAAAACCAAATGCAAGCAACCTGTCAAGGCTCCTTTTTACCCCACCACTGAATGTTTGACATTCATTATATTTTATTTGACATTCATTATACAGTCAGCAGAGACTCTGAAACTCTGACTCACCGTTGTTGGTGCGCATTGACCTGCCAGAGATGCCGTTGGATCCCATAGGGTGGTGGCCGCCTCCTCGGTCCACACCCCCGGGCTCGCCTGGCTGTTTCAGCAGTTCCGTCAGGGCCCTAAAAAGAGAAGGGTTTGTACGCCATCAGTTTCTCAGCAGGGTACTTGGCAAATAAGGGTGAGCGATACCAACCAGACATGAGCCCAGGCCAGTGTTTTGCATTCGGTCCAAGTCACGTCTCACTAATTCAAGTCGTTTGCCTTCAAGTCTTAGATACCTGGCATTACGTGTCTTGAGGAAAGGAATGAACTTGAGATTTCTGCGAATAGTGCGATTTTTTTGTTAAGATTCATTTCTGGAAAGAATTAGGACATTGCAAAGTTTTTTAACCATTTTCTGTAAATAAATGTTTAAATTATGCAGCAAAGTGATTAAAAACTGCAAAGACCGCAAATTGAAATTGAGGCAAACACTTTTCACTGTCAATTAAAATGAGAAAATCCTCATTTGAAAGCGATTACAGCTGATCACATTAGTGTAAGTAAACAGAACGGTTTCTAGCATTTCTGCAACACATTCACTATCAACACAGCAATGACCTGAATCAATACATAAATGTAGTTCTACATGTTCAGTTGTGAATGGGGGCCATACATAGTTTAACGTTGCATTTCAAAATTTATTTAATCCCTATAAGTGGATCATTTGCATAACTGTTTAAAAACAATCCATCACACATATCCTAGACGTGCATTAAAAAAAATAAATAAATAAATAAAATAAAAAGAGCAAATGCTTGTCCAGCAAAATGGTGAATGGCAAGAATAGCAACAGTTGCTAAAGTAGGATTCATTCAGTAGAATTTTAAGGCGGGGCTTAATGAAGAGTCAGTTTAAAGCTAGATTACATCATAATTCCATTGTTAAACAGGAATCATCCCTATAGTATAAGAACCTTAAAGATGGATGCAATTGTCACCAAACACCATATACCGGTTTGGTGGTCATTTTACTCTTTGCACTCGTTTTGTTTTTATTCACAGTCTTCGTAATTATTCTGTATTTCTGCTTTCAAAGAACGTTTCAATGACTGCCCCAACCATCCTTGGCTCTGTCCCTTCTCTCTCAGGGCTGATATAATGTCTCGCTAACACTTAACTACCAACCAACCCTCTCAATTCACCCATCCCCTTCAGTGCTTCAGTGAAAGTGCTTCAGTGGTTGCATTAAAACGGTTTAGCTGCACAGGAAGTCCAAGCGTGCCCTGACTCCAGTGCAATTCAAAATAATTCTGCTCGGCTTCAAGGTTCCATTATTTCCCTTGTGACATCATTGTCTCAACATTCTCCATTCCATAGGCTGAGATTCAGGGCAGGATGGAACCTTGGGACATTTCTAAAGCAACAGTTGCCAGGAACGCTGGGCTCCGGCCAAGCTCTCTGCTGTATGCTTGACTGATGTGGTGCCTTGTGAGTGCTACGGTCTCCTCAAAGCTAGCATAGGCCACACAGGACGATGGCTGTCAACAAAACTTCTACAAACTTCCTGTTCCTCTAGCAAGCCGTATCATATCTAAACCTTTGGTGGACCTGAAGATAGCTTATTTAACACTCAGACAGGCGATTGTGAAGGTAAAGTGTTAAAACAATCAGGTAACCTAAACAGCCTATATTATTTTAGGCTATTACTTTTTTTAAAAGAAATAGTAGTAATTTTAAAAAGCTGATTTTAACTATAATATTGTGCTAACAACACTTAAAGGGATAGTTCACCCAAAAATGACATTTCTGACATTATTTACTCACCCTCGTGTCGTTCCAAACCCGTAAGACCTCCATTCATCTTCAGAACACAAATTAAGATAGCTCTTCTGTGTCTGCATTCTCTTGCAGCTGCAATATGATGGTGACGATCCTCTTCAAATGCGGTGGCTGCTTTATTAGTTCGGGCGTGTCAACTGGTTCTGTCAGAGGCGGCAAGCTCCAGCTGCTTTGGGTTCAGGTCGGCCCATTTTAGATGTGACTTGAGGTTACCTTTGAATCTTTTATTTGGGCACCCTTGGTGTCTGGACCCTGTGACCAACTCTCGAAAGAACACCTGCTTTGGCATCCTCTGCGGGTCCATGCGGATGACGTGGCCAGACCATCGGAGCTGCATTTTCAGAATCATGGATTTAAAGGGATAGTTCACCCAAAAATGACATTTCTGACATTATTTACTCACCCTCGTGTCGTTCCAAACCCGTAAGACCTCCATTCATCTTCAGAACACAAATTAAGATAGCTCACTGACTCTCCCATAGACAGCAAGAGTCCTTACACGATCAAGGTCCAGAAACGTAGCAAGGAGATCGGTAAAATCCGGAGGGAGCAATGGTGGAACTGCTCCAGCTGTTTGATATGTCTCCGGTAGAGCGTCCATGTTTCACAGCCATACAGAAGTGAGGTGAGGACCACTGCTCTGTATTCTTTGAGCTTTGTGTAGAGGCGAATGCCGCTGTGCTGTAGAACTTTGGAGCGCAGTCTCCCAAGAGCTTGACTGGCCTTTTGGACTCTGGTATTGATCTCCTGGTTCAGGGATCCGTCGCTGGAGATTGTGCTGGCCAGGTACTTTAAGGTGGTAACATTTGAGAGCTGGGTGCCATCGATGGTGATGCATGGCTGGTCTGCTGCTCTTCCTGGTGCAGGCTGGAATAGAACTTCTGTCTTGCTGAGGCTGATAGTTAAGCCAAAAAGCTTTGTTGCTACGGAGAATCTGTCTACGATGGTCTGTAGATGATTCTCTTGATGTGCCATGAAAGCACAGTCGTCTGCAAAGAGAGCTTCTGTGAAGAGCCTCTCCAGTGTCTTTGTTTTGGCTGCCAGGCGGCGAAGGTCAAACAGTGAACCGTCGATATGGTACCTGATGTACACGACCAGGTTCAGGTCTCTCACAGCATGTAGCAGCACTTGGGTGAAGAACAGATTGAAGAGCACCGGAGCGAGGACACAGCCTTGCTTCACGCCATTGGAGATGCTGAATTGATTGGATGGCTCTCCACCTGACAAGACTTCTCCTGTCATGTTGATGTGAAACAGCTGGATCAGTTTGGTGAACTTTGCTGGGCAGCCAAGTTTTCTGAGTATGACCAACAGGGCGTCTCTGTTGACCGTGTCGAATGCCTTGACTTCTCCTGTCATGTTGATGTGAAACAGCTGGATCAGTTTGGTGAACTTTGCTGGGCAGCCAAGTTTTCTGATTATGACCCACAGGGTGTCTCTGTTGACTGTGTCGAATGCCTTGGTCAGATCGATGAAGACCATATAGAGGTTCATGTTCTGTTCTAGGCACTTCTCCTGCACCTGTCTCACAGTGAAGATCATGTCGATGGTGCTGCAATCTGGGCAGAAGCCACACTGTAACTCAGGCAGGTTCTGTCCATAGACTGAAGTCAGTAGTCTGTTGAGCATAATGCGGGCGAGGATCTTGCCTGCGATGGGGAGTAAAGAGATACCTCTTCCCAGATGCTGGTCAGAACTTCATGGAATGCCTGGAGCGCCTCCTCACCAAGTGCCTTGTACAATTCTGCAGGGATACCATATTTGCCGGTTGCCTTGCCAGAGCTCATTTGCTTGATGGCCCGCTGAGCCTCAGCTAGGGATGGGGGGGTCATCCAGCTGCTCAAGAGTGGGATTTTGGGGGATCTGGTCGAGGGCTGACTGGTTGACTGCAGATGGGAGGTTGAGCAGTTGGCTGAAGTGTTCTCTCCATCTGTTGTTGATGCCCTGTTTGTCTTCGATGAGCGTGGTGCCATCTGCAGAAAGTAAGGGGGCAGAACCAGATTTTGAGGGACCATAGACTGCCTTGAGAGATCCAAAGAACTGCCTGGCGTTGTTTGTGTTGGCGTAGTGTTGTATTTCTTCCGCCACCTTCTCCCACCACTGACCTTTCATCTTCCTGATTTCTCGCTGTGCCTGGGCTTGGAGGGACTTGAACCTCTCCTTTTTGGATGCGGACCTTGGGTCTTTCTGCCACTGCAGGAATGTTTTGTCCTTCATGCCCAGCAGGTCTCCAATAGCACTTGCATTCTTATCGAACCAGTCCTGATGAGTGTGTTCCTTGGGGCCTAGCGCCTCCTTGGCTGTCTCCATCACTACATCCCTGAACTGGTTCCATTTCTCAGTTGGATTTCCAGTTAGTGGTCCATTGGCAGACAGCTTCTCATCCAGTGTGGACTGAAACTTGTGAAGGTAGGAAGGATATTGGAGTCTGACGATGTTGAATGCTGAGCGTATGACCTTAGCACGCCTTGGGTGGTGAGGGACGATGTGCAGCTGGAGTATGTCTCTAACTAGCCTGTGGTCCGTCCAGCATTCTGCTCCCCTCATGGCCCTGGTGACAAGGACGTCTCGGATGTCTCTTTGGTGCACAATGATGTAGTCTATCATGTGCCACTGCTATGATCTGGGGTGCATCCAAGTTGTCTTGTACTTGTTCGCCATCCTGAATATAGTGTTCGTGATAAGGAGCTCGAACTCTGCACATTTGCTGAGAAGTAGGCCATTGCTGTTCGTCTTTCCCACTGCATGCTTCCCGAGCACTCCTTTCCACCTGGTGTGATCTTGGCCGACGCGAGCATTGAAGGGTCAACAGGATCAACTTGTCTCTGGCTGGTACAGAGCGCAGAACGGAACTGAGGTCGGCGTAAAAATGCTCAATTGTCTCCTCTGCGCTGGTTAGTGTGGGGATGTACGCGCTGATGACTGTCGCGTACCTCTTGTCATTGAGAGGTAGACGGATCTTCGTGAGCCTCTCATTGATTCCCACAGGGAGGTCAGGAAGGTTCTTTAGCAGGTTGGCCTTGATGGCCAATCCAAAGCCGTGGATCCTATCTTCGTTCTGGGCTTTTCCTTTCCAGAAGAACGTATATCCACTGGTAAGTTCTGTGAGAGATCCTTTCGTCAGGGAGGCTTGTTTCACTGAGGGCTGCTATGTCAATGTTGTAGCGTGCGAGCTCTTTCGCAACGAGTGCCATTCTCCTTTCTGGTCTGCTGTATCTTCTCTGTCCAAAAGTGCTCTGACGTTCCATGCTCACAGTAGGAGCTTCTTTTTTTTGAATTCTGTTTTTGTTTAGACCGCT